GTTATGTACACTACCGGTAGTTGTGAATTTGGATACAAGTTCCCTCAAATATAGGACGATTCGGATAACGTTCATTGAAAATCCTTTCGGTCTCGTAAAAGTTACGCGTCGCATCGTAAATAAAAATCGCTTCAATTTTTTCTTGCAATGGACGAGAATTGACCATTTTAGATTTTGTTGACGTGGTACCTTTCTACTAGTAAAACCGAAAACTAAATGAGAATATTCTAATTGAACAATGATATTCATTGTTGTACTGACATTTTTTGTCATTTTTATAAACAAAAAATACCTTAAACAAACCTTATCGGGTTGTCGGACATGCCATATGGCAGATAAAAAAGAATATTTCTAGAAATATCGATATTAATGTGTTTGTCTTCAGGAAATTAGTATATGTTCCGCCATTTTGTAGTAGGTGGAAATATTGACTTCATATCCTAGGGTTGTGAAGTATTCGTCAGTAGCTTCAAAATAATGTGTCACAAGACCCCCCTTTCCATTTAATTTTTTTCCAAGATTGCGCCCAGTCGCCATCTTGAAATCTTCATCTGTCAATTTCACTTCAAAATTAAGTATTCATGCATTAATTTCATTCTCCCAAATTTCAATTTTTTGAATTGACCCGTTCAGAAAATGAAAGGGGGACATTAAAGAACTGCACTGTATCAAAGAAAGAGATTTTTTTTATTCCGCGAAGTACTTACATAATCTGGTGATGAACCCATCAAGTCATAATAAGAAAAAAAAATTTGGTATATCATAACAGTGCCCAAATAATCCGAATTTCCTTCTTAGAAACGCATGGAATTGAGGTATATATTTTGTTTGTGTACTCTATTCGAGTACATAAAAAAATGGAAAAATGAATGTAAGGTTCACAAATTCCAAAATGTTTTAGACAATTTATGATATACGCAGTCTGTTCAAAAAATAAGATGAATTTTTATTTTTCTCAAAAAGTATTTATTTATTCATCAATTTTTATTTTGTCCCCTCCAATGTACTTCCCCTCAGATATCATACACTTGTACCAGCATTGTTTTCAATCCTCGAAGTAGTTCTGAAACGCACTTTTTGATATGTTCTTTAGCTTTCTCGGCGATTCTGTTTTTTAATCTCCTCAATTGTCGCAAAATGCCGTCCTTTCAATTTCTTTTCAATCTCAGGAACGAAGAACCAGTAAACAGGTTATTATTGATGACATTCGGGAAACCATAATAAGCGTAGAGTATTAAATGAACTTTGGTTAAATCGACTAATATCCATTCACACAAAAGATGACTTCTATCGATAGTTGAACGCAGTTCAAAATTTACATACAATCATCAGAATAGCATTACTGTGCAAATTTTGAAACGCCATCTTTTATTCAATACTTTCCAGTCATATATCCTGAATGTTGGAGAATATGAGTGTGGTATGATATCTCGGAAACGTAAAACGCATACGATTCATAATATAAAAGCAGCAAAATAGGTAATGAAGGTGCAACGTTGTGGAGCTGCCCCACAGTATTGTGCCATATACTATATGGGAGTAAAAGAGTGCGTAATAGGTATTCAATAGAACATTTCCTTATAATGGAGATCACACTAGACAATTTGGAGTGAATTGATTCAATATGTTTCGACCAATTTAGGATATCATCGAGCGTAACACCCAGAAGTTTGGCATATTCTCCCATGTGATTATAAAGTGCATTTCTTTAATTTCCCCCCCTTTATTTTTTGAACGGGTCAACTTAAAAAGTTGAAATTTGGGATAATGAAATGAATGCATGAATCTGGAAAAAAAATAAATTGAAAGGGGGACTTGTGACACATCATTTTGAAGCTCCTGATGAATAATTCACAACCCTAGAATTTTAGGTGGATATCTTCACCTACTGTAAAATGGCGAAACATTTAATAATTTCCTGAAGACAAACACATTAATATCGATATTTCTATAAATATTTCTTTTTTATCTACCATATGGCAATTCCAACAACCCGATAAGGTTTTTTAAGTTAATTTTTGCTTATAAAAATGACAAAACATGTCAGAAAGACAATGAACATCATTGTTCAGTTCGAATACCCTCATTTAGTTTTCGGTTTTACTAGTAGAAAGGTACCACGTCAACAATAATAATAATANAGACACTAATTGCACGCAGATCCTTATATTCGGTTGGATTAGTTTTTTTGGGCAATACTCTCACCACTGCTCTCCCCCACATCGCTGGAAATACACTATGGCTTAAACAAAAATTCACTATATGGGTGATATATTGCACAATATGGGGTCAACACATTTTGATTAATTTAGTGTTTATATCATCACAACCTTTAGCATTCGATTTTATGTTACATATAATTTTATTTACGGATAATTCATTTATTTCCTGAAAAGCAAAATTCGGTTCTACTCGATGGTTTTCCTTGTAAAAATCTCTAAAATGGTCAATTATCGTTCACTGAAAGAAAAAATTGAAGCGATTTTTATTTACGGTGCGACACGTAACTTTCACGAGACCGAAAGTATTTTCAATGAACGTTTTTCGAATCGTCCTATCTGTAGAAAATATTTGAGGGAACTTGTATCCAAATCTACAACTACCGGTAGTGTACATAAAAAAAGGCCCGCAGATCATCCGTCCATTCCGGAAGAACAGCAAATGCAAATAATTGGTGGGATGGTAGTAAATCCTGAACAGTCTACTTATTCCGTCGCGAATGTTTGTGAGGTGTCTGTTTCTACTGTGTGAAGACTTTTGAAGAGGAATAGGTATCATCCATACAAAATTAAAATGGTACACCAATTGACTGAAGATGACCCTGAACGAAGAATAGAAGTCTGCGAAATCATGACGGAAACCATTGCAAGAAATTCTACCTTTTTCCACAATATTTGTTTTAGTGACGAATGTTGATTTTTCAAACGGCAATGTTCACAGACAAAATTGCCGTTATTGGAGTGCCACCAACCTTCACGTTTTCCTGAAAACACATACCTAATATCCAGAAAAAATTAATGTTTGGGCAGGAATACTGGGAAACCATATTGTAGGACATCTATTTATTCATCAAAATTCAACAGGGGAACTGTATTTGAATATGATGGAAACTACTGAATCACTGAAATCGTCGAAGCTAATCCTAATGAATTCGATATGGATATTGTATTCCAACAAGATGGATCACCACAAATTACTACAGACAAGCAAGAAACTATTTTGATACTACTTTTCCCGGATTTGCCGTCGATGTCTTACAGAATGGCCAGCCCGCTCGCTGAACTTTTTTTATGGGGCTATTTGAAGCAAAAGGTGTACGAAACTGAACCTGCTTCAATATTGGATATACGGCAGAGAATAATACATATTTGTAGAGATATTGACATTACTGTGTTCGAAAATGTTCAGCGTGAAATATCGGATAGACTGTTCATATGTCAAGAAGTTCAAGGCAACTATCTTCTGAACTGACCTCAAGCTTATTACCTCATATTATGTAGTTAAATGTCAATGTATTGAGGCAATTATTGAAAGTTCCGCCATTTTGTAGTAGTTGAAGATATTGACATTATATTCTAGGGTTGTGAAGCATTTGTCAGGAGCTTCAATAAAAAAATGTCATAAGACCCCCTTTTTCATTCAATTTTTTCCCAGATGGCGCCCTGTCGTCATCTTGAAAGTATCATCTGTCAGTTTCACTTCAAAATAAAGTAATCATGCATTAATTTCATTATCACAAATTTAAATTTTTTGGGTTGACTCGTTCAAAAAATAAAAGGGGGGGACATTAAAAAAATGCACTGTATATGGAGAAGTTCAGACAACTTGTTTTAGCCTCATTCAGCTTTGATTAATTTGTAGAGAACCAGTTTTCCCCTTTTCACCCTACTGTTGCGATGGAAACATTCAGGCACACATCTGAAGCACCTGCTCCACACAATATTCTGCAAGAGTGGTTCGCGATGTGGATGCCGGAAATCGGGGTTGCAGTACTAAAATAATTAAAATAATGAGTTATAGTTCTTGTAACTTTGATACAATTTATCGATAATTAATAAACTTCATATGGCGTATTTTGGACCTGGAGTACCGGTTGACCATATATGATGCTCTAACCGCGCGCTCTCCGCCCTATATCTCGAAAACGATTCAACGTGAACCATATCAAAAGTTCTAGGGAATTGAATCCTCTACAATATTGATGATGAATACAAATAACGAAAAACCCATAGAAAACGGGATATTCACAAAAAATGTGTGACGAATTTTGCGACCTTTGACTTTAGAATAGTCGCGTACTCCATATGTAGGTTTTGATACAACTTTTAGAATACCAAAATACAACTTTATACGAGTTTATAGCTGGATATTTCAAATTCCGAACTTACTAAGATGAATGGTTAATATATCCGTTGAAATACTCTGATTTGGGTAAACTATAATCCGACAAGTTTTAAAATAGGAGGAAATGATTGAAAAAAATAAATTTTCTATGCGTGGGAGGTTGACACTGCCCGCCTCACCCACGGAGTCGCAGTTGACGGTCGCGAGGAAATAATTGACCTTGATACCGGAGAAAAATCGCCTGAGAAGGCTCTATCAACGAATCATTTTCCCAGGAGACAAAATTGCGGCAAGCAGGATGGCCAATCAAGTCAAACAAGCCTTCATTGATCACCGAAATGAAAGATGGGAGTAGCTTTCGGAATCCCTGGAGCCTGGGGAGGACGAGCTTTGGCGAGTCACCCGCAAACTCAAAGGGAAGAAGACTGTTCCCTCACTCTTCATGGAGAGCGCGGAGTGTGCTACTCCTCCGCCGACAAAGCGTTAGCTTTTGCAGAGTTGATGGAACGTCAGTTTCAACTTAACGTTGACGACAATGATGACATCAACCGCGATATTCTGCTGGAAGATCGGGATTACCGTATCCTCAGGGAAGACGACGACGATAACATCCGCCAGCTTCTATGGAGGAACTGAAGGGTTACATCAAGGCCGTAATGGCCAAAAAAGCTCCGGGGGTCGACTCAATAACCAATAAGTTATTGAAGAGGCTTCCGGACAACTGCGTCGAAAGTTTACTTCAGATCATAAACAGCTCGTTAGCCCTCAGATACTTCCCCAGAAGGTGGAAGCATGCGATCGTTGTCATGATCCCAAACCAGGGTCAGAACCTGGTCTTCCCACAGAATTATCGCCCGATCAGTCTACTCTCGTCGGCGGCTAAGCTGGCTGAAAGAGTCATTCTGCAAAGGCTCAGCGAAGAAGTTGACGACCCAAATGTTTTGCCTGACGAACAGTTCGGCTTCAGGAGAGAACACTCCACTGAGATACGGGCACTGAGACTGGTCGGAAACACCATCGCAGAGTTAAATCATAATCGAAAAGTTCATGTCGTCCTTTTAGACATCTCGAAGGCCTTCGACCGTGTATGGCACGAAGGTCTTCTGCATTAGCTAGTTGCGTTCGACCTGCCTCGGGGCCTGATCCGGTGGATTAGGTCTTTCCTGAAAGACAGAACATTTCAGGTTAGAGTATAGGACTCTCTGACAACAGAGAGATACCCGCTAGAGTGCCACAGGGGGCTGTGCTCTCTCCCACGCTGTACTCACTTTACACCAGTGACCTCCTGAGGTCCGAGCGTGTGAAGATATCCCTCTACGTCGATAGCACGGCTCTCCTCTCATCTTCTACATGCAACGTGCATAGGACGAATTCGAGCGCTGGTACCTCGAATGGAAGATTTGAGTGAACCCGGAAAAGACTCAGGCGATAACCATTGGTGGAAAGAATGTTATCTTCTCCGGCCAGAAAAGTGAGGATCTCTGGAAGGGATATCGACTGGCAAGCGCGGGTAAAGTACCTCGGTCTTCTAATAGACCGTAGGCTCACGTGGAAACCTCACATCACAACCGTGAAAGCAAAGATCGAGGGTTAGCAAAGTCTGTACCCTCTGATCAATAGACGACCCTAACTAAGCCTAAAAAACAAAATTACGATCTATAAAATGATGTTCAAGCCTGTCATCATTTATGCTTCAGGCGTCTGGGGACAAGCGGCTCCGTCTAATATCTCCATTCTGGAGAGATTACAAAATAAGCTAATAAGGATGATTATGAATGCTCTATGGTTCCTACGGAATGAGACCATCCGCAGAGATTTGCAGCTGCCTTCCTTCAAGCAGTACATTCAGACGAGGAATCGGCGAGTTTTTGATTGTGCTGAAACTCACGAAAACCCGTTAGTTAGGAAAGTTATTGATTATAGGATGTTCGAATGATACTGACTTGGACTTCCATAGGATATCCGTCATGGACGTCCAACGGATATTTGATATGGATTTCCATAGGATGTTCGGGTGATACTGACTGGAACTTCCATAGGATATCCATCATGAATATCCATAGAACGTTCATTAAGGACGTCTGTTTGACATTTTCATAGAATAAAACGAAATTCCTTTTAATTAAAACATGTATTTGTTAAAATAAATTTAAAACAACATAATACTGGTCACTCTCAAAACAAATTAAAATTTACTCAACATATTTGGTAACTTATGACAAAAACAAAATGAAATCAACCTCTAATGCAAGCATATAAAAAATATATTTATTTTTCATTTGCTTCTGAAGTATGGCGTTTTTTGGCTCTTCTTAGCCATTTTTTTATTGCTTCAACTTCTTTGTTACTAGTTGCGAGATTATTTCTTTCTGATGCTTGAATTTCATTTTGATGTTTCATTAAGTAAAGTCACAATTGTAATTAATTTAGCTCTCTTGATGACAATTATAATTGGATTGCATATTTAATAGCAATCAATCGAAGAGCAATTCATATTTAATAAGATTTCCCGAGGTTGATAAATTGACAGTACGTTCATACTAAGCGTAAAATTGTTGTGGCACTACCCTAAATTGCATCCTTGATATCGGTTTGTAATTAACGATAATCAAACAGTGTGACAATGTTTATGAGAGAATTTAAGAGAATCCTGTGTAGCATTTCCTATTATATATTTACATGGTCTGTAGCAGCAGTATACAAACCAGAGATCACTAACACTGCATCGTATTTCGTTTTAACCAAACGAAAATATTTCTTCCCATTATTGACATCAACTTATTTTATTCTCTTTTCCATGTTTTCTTTCAACAGAATACGAATTTTCATCTATGCACTCAGCAATATCCGATTTGTGTTTTTGATGTGTACCACTTCTGAGCTGCTTACGCTTTTCCTAAATTTTTATGGACAAGTGAAGAATGGAAAGAAGTTTGTACGAATATTGAATGGAATGATAAAAATATGGAAAAGTGCTAGATATGACTATCATCATGGAAATATTGCAGGTATGGTGATTTGAATCAATATTCCAAAATTCGATAGTAAAAAAGTATTAATTTTTGAAGAAACTGGATAGGTCAATTTCAAAGTCAGTGTTTGTATTCAAGTTATCACTGCAACACGTGTGGGTTTATTATGGCTCACACCAATACACACACACCACCAAATAAGTCCAGCATCTCCATCATTTTCCGAACAGAGACGACAGACACTGTCTTCCAACAGTCCAAATATCAGCTTATAATGATTCAGACGAAAGTTTTCCATAAGTAGGCCGATTTAGACAACTTAGTATATCTCCACTGTAGTCTAACAATTGTGTAGTGATAATTTTTTCGAAGAATGTATGAATGTATTGAAATGTGCCAAACGAAGTCATTACTTTATTGAAATGACGAATAAACACTGACACTTGTTTATGGTGCAACATATATATATATATATATATATATATATAAAATCTAGCAAGGTTAATACAGTCAAGCTGCTGGAAAATAATTCCATGAAAATCAAAGAATAAATAGATAAGTACTCTTTGATCATTCCCATATTGATTTCAATTTAAGAGCCACCGGTAGACAGCTGTTTCAGCCTATTGGGCATCGTCAGTACCGGGCAGGCGGTCCTTGATTGTAGACAAAATGAGAAAAACCAAGAAAGTACTTGATAAAAATAGCTGCGTAAACGCAAGCGAAACATAAGTGGAACCACCTATTGGTGTGACACCCAAGCCAACTTGCCCAATAGGCTGAAACAGCTGTCTACATAGAGAGATAAAAGAGTTATTAATCAGACATAGCACTCAAGAAAGTGGCAAACCATAGATGGGCTTTTGGCCCATCATCAGTATGGTGCAGCCAAGTAAAAGGATGGGCAACACTTGGTTACCAGAAGAAAGAAATACAAATGCCACCAGCAGGAGCCAGCTGGTGGCTCACTGTTCCGTCACCAATTATGAACATTTCAAGCAGATCTGGATCGCCGTTGACGCCACTCAACAATTTTTTGTTCAAAATTCAGCAATTTTGGAACTAGCTTCGATGCCACACGTTTCATACCCAAAATTTCTGAAACAATTGTATGTTGATCTAATGAATAATTCATTTAGAGAAGGAATCTTTCATATTTTTTTTGAAGTCGATTGTGTTAACACTGCCAAAGAATGAAGTCATCAATGGTCCATCAAGTATTCGTCCAATTTCTCTGATATCTGCAATGGCTAAATTGATTGAAAAATTAGTGAAAACAAGACTCCTTTGCCAGTTTCGTTTCATTTCTTCAAAATGTTTATTCCAATGTAAATGACGAAGAAACAGTGGCTACGGTCTTCTGTGATATAGCCAAAGCATTTGATTGCGTGAATCATGAAATTTTTCACGCAAACTCAGTAGATACGGTATAACTGGAATATGTCTTGAGTGGTTCAGGTGGTTTTACTTGCGGCGTCCCACAAGGTTCGGTTCTGGGCCCCACTTTTATTCTCAATGTACATTAATAACCTATCGTATATTAACATCCAAGGAAAATTAACTTTATTTACTGATGATGCCACAGTTTTATGGCATGCCCCTAACAACCATACGTTGTATAGAGTTATTGAGAATGGCATCCCGAAAGTGAAAGACTGATTTGACTCAACTATCTTGAGTTTGAATTCATCAAAAACAAAAGTAGTGACCTATCGTTGCCAGGTTCCAGCTGTATATCTGAATATTCAAATTGACAACGTACCAACTTCTAAATTCCTTGGCTTGATCATTGACAATAATTTAAAGTTCAACAAACGTGTAGATAGTTTGAAATCCAAGCTCTCCTCTAGATGTTATTCAATACGAGTAACTGCATTGGAGCTGCATTAGAGCATTACAGTAATTTTTCGAAAACGAACACTTTTTCGAAAACTCAAATGTTTTCGATAGATTCGATAACTGCATTTGATTTGAACTTGCGCCCTTTTATTCACTTATTCATGATTCATACAAATAAAATTAACCTAAATTTCAATAAAACAAAACTTTAAAATATATTCCACTTCATTAATCAAAATTTAATTGAAAAAATTTCTCATTGCAGATATATTTGTTCGAAGAAGATTCCACGTTTTTCACTTCTTGTTCATGGTGATAATTTCTGGGGTGTTGATTACTCAGGATATAATCAGAAGACAGTTCAAGGATATTCCCACCTACACTTTAGCCGAACTCCTGCTGTCGATGTCAATTTTAGAAAGAGTTAACGTACTACTCCTCTTCGAAGATATTCTGGGTGACTTACTTTTGGAACTGAAGAGAAATAATATAATATCAATTCAAAGGTTGTTTAGAAACTACGAACGGCTATCTAACTATGTCGTTGAGTTCACTAGGCTGCATTCTTGGTATTTACTAAGTTTGGTTACCAACACATTCTTATGGATTATGTACAACGTGTACAAGTTCATCATATTGCACTTCTTCGAATTCCGTAAATTTCCCACTACCAATTTCACCATGTCTTTCATTTTGTCTTGGACTTTCACCTCGTTGCAGATATTCCACCTAGCGATTCTCATTTGGGCTTTCGGGAGAGTAAAAAAGAAACAGAGAGACTTTAAATTCCATTTGAGCGGTTTTTTCTGCATGTTGAATCCTACAGATAAACTAATCCACTCAGATATGGTAAGTTAAAATTTCAAACATTAATAACTGAATCACCGGTTAGATTTTCATTGACTAGGGAAGCCTGATCTTTAGAGATCACTTTCAATTTTTTTCTACGTATTGTTACCTATTCAATTAACATACGCTGTCTGTTCCAAAAATATTTATTTATTCATCAATTTCTATTTTGTATCCTCCAAGGTAGTCTTTCTCGAAAATCTCACACTCGTACCAGCGATTTTTTAAATCCTCCAAGCAGTTCTGACATGCACTTTTTGGTATGTCCTTGAGCTCTCTCGGTTTTTATCTCCTCAATCGCCGAAAAACGCCATCCTTTCATGGGTCTCTTCAATCCTGAGATCAGGAAAAAGTCGCAGGACACCAAATCTGGCGAATACGATGGCTGAGGCATGATGACTGTGTTGTTATTGGCCAAAAAATTACAAACACGCAATGACGAGTAAGTGATGCGAAATCTTGACATTTGATAGAACTTGGTGTGCTATTTTGGTCTTGGCTTCCATAGGCTCTTCTCCATGATTTTTCATCAGTTATGACCCTTTAAAGCAAATCTGGATCGGCGTTGACGTCATTCAACAATTCCCGAGCAATGCTCATGCGGCGATTTTTTTGAACAAAAATCAATTTTGCTGCTACACGCCATAACAATTCTCTTCACTTTCTCAACATATTCATCAGTTGTTGATGTGCTGGGGCGTCCACGTCGAGCGTTATCATTTACATCTTATCTACTTCTTGTAAACATTTTTCGGACTCAGAGTACCACTCCGTATGCCACTGTCAACATTTCAAGTGTTTTTGAGCACTCAATTCCATTTTTACACAAAATTTTAATGTACGTAGTCCGCGAAATTTGAACAGATATTCAGTAAAGTGGTCTAGTGGAGTATTCATCAGGTAATAATCTCATCGGATGCCTAAATTAGTCAGTTTTCACTACCTTTTCTGGGTTTAGAGCTTTTGACAATGCACTACCTAAATATATAGGATCGTCTCTGGCTAGGAAAGGTATAGAATCGACCATAACTGACTGGATATAGCCATGCTGGTAAACACAACTATGACTCTTCAAGTCGAGGCCATCAGGTCCAGAGTCACCAGAGGCTGTCCTCAAGAAAAATAGATCTGCAAGCTTATGCAGATGACCATGTCATCTTGGCAAGGTCCACGTCGGAAAGGATAGCTTGTGATATCCTCCAAAGCACGATGGACGTTGTTCACAGGCTGAAGGAGCAGATGTCTGTCAACCCCAGCAAAACTGTGATAATTCCCTTCACCAGGAGAAGAAAATTGGATGATCTAACGCCACTTCCCCTCAATGGTGAGATCATTCCATTTGGAACGGAGGTGAAATATCTTGGCATTGGAACGCTCACTTAGAAAAAGGTTTACACATTGACTTGTGCAATTGGCATATTGCCAATTGCACAAGTCAATTCAATGCAGAGTGCAACAGACTGTTGGGTAACACTGGAAGTCACAGCATTCTGGAAATGACCTCTGACTGTATGCCTCCAACTGCTAACTACGAACTGCCTTATAAAGTACTGTTCCCGAGTAGAGAGGACTGGATCATCTGGGAGAAGGAAAAATTGAGAGCAGATAGTTGTTGGTTCACAGATGGATCAAAAACACCTTCCGGTTCAGGTGCAGGTGTTTTCAGTCGCAGACCCAGGACAGAGATATCAACCTGCCTAGGAACCTATGCGAGTTTATTTCAAGCGGAAATTTACACTACTGAATTGTGTGAACACCTGGATGGCAAGAAGCTTCATTGACTTCTGGCAGAATCTTCTAGGATTGGCTCAGTCTAAGTCGCTTATTCACCCTTCGAAGCTTGATACCAAACAGTTGTTGGACTACAGTAGGGATGAACTACGATGTCTAACAGGCCTTCTCACATGTCACTGTCATTTGAATCATCATATGCAGAGACTCAAACTGTCGGAAGACAGTGTCTGTCGCATCTGTTTGGAAAATGATGAAACAGCAGAGCACATACTTACGGCAGAGCCGTACTCTTACCATCTGACCTGAAAGACCACTCACCATACAAATTAATCGGCTTCGTTAAGAAGCTGGGTTTATTTGGTTGAGTGTGAATAGGTGTGAGCCACAATAAACCCTTGCGGGTTGCAGTGGAGGGTCGAATAGACCCACTCACATTGGACCTAACCTAACCTCTTCTGGAAATTCTTGGTAGATGTGATAGAAACTTGAAAGGGAATCTTGATTGCTGACCAATGTAAGGAAAAGTTTAGTGAACCAGCTGAATCATTGTAGGAAAATTATTGGAGCTTGATAATTCAATTCCATTTCATTTGTTCTTGTTTTTTACCATTTTCCCCAAAGTGTGACATGATTGAAAATTTTGAGATTTTTTCATAATTCTCTCAACATCGAATTTATTGATAACCAATGAAACAATTTCGACAAAATAAGCCCCACCCATTTTCTTATTCGTAATTTTTTGCCAAAAACAAAACCGTAATCATGCCTCAGCCACCATATTCACCAGATTTGCTCCCCTGCGACTTTTTCCAAGATTGGAAGACCCACGAAAGGAAGGCGTTTTGCGACGATTGAGAAGGACAAAATGGAAATTAATGAATAAATAAATATTTTTTGAGAAAACAGAATAGTATTTCAAGAGCTTTGGATTTTTGTCAGTCTCTTAGGAAATAAATATCTATTCAACTTTTTTCCAGATTAAAACAATATACTCGAAACTTCTGGATGATAATCAAGATCGTAATGCAATTGTTTTCAACATAGACTCGCCTTTGCTGTTACACGTAAGTTGGTTCAGATTTCTCTGTAGTTCTGGTTATTTCTGACTTTTCGTTTCAGATGGTTGGAAATTGTGTAACTAATATTATGGTTCTAATAAGCTTTGAAGTGCTGTATTGATTCAAATGGTGGAAGAGGGTCTATTCCAGAATGTTCCAAATTGTATTAAATTTAGAATGTTCATGAACGATGCTGATACTCTTCAATAGATTCAGATTTATTTCAATCAATCTCAAATAAAACAACAAAATCGTAATAAAAATTTGTTAATAATTCATCACTTTCTTACAAAATATATAAAATTGTTACTTTTTTACCTTAATAGCTAAAACAATGAAAACAGTCTTACATATAACGGGAATTAAGGACCAAAACCATACGAATAATAGCACTGTATCGATAAAATCATTAGTACAAAATTATTAATTTTGCTCATGGTTTTCTTCTTTTTGTAGCTTCGACTGGCTTTCCTCCATCTGTTTCCTGATTTCTCTGCATTCGTCGCATTCCAAATCATCCAAACCTGAAAATTTTTATTTTCGATTAGATACAATATTTTCCCCTAAAAAATATATGAAAATGCAGTTTATTTGACCTATATATTTCGTAGAAATTCATACTAAATATAGGATTGAGAAAATACTTTTGTCTGATTTCTACTGAATTTATTATCAGTAGAAATCAGACAAAAGTATTTTCTTTATCCTATATTCAAATGCAATTCAGATGTGGTGCAGAGTAACTGGATTACTGATTCTTCTTTTAATTAGAATTAATTAGAATCTTCTTTAATTAGAAATACAATACATTATTCCAGTTATGATCACACTGTTGATCAAGTTTGAATTTCTGAAACATTTTGGAATATACTACCCATTAATGGTTTTTACAGGACTGGGAACAGAAAATAAAAATTTTTGTAATCATAGTGATAAAGTGAATCATTTGTTTTCACTTGCAGTAATTGAATAAATTGCTTCTCGTTTTATTCATAACATAAAATAAAACTTTGAGCATTGAACAACAAATCAAAAGGATTTGTTTTGAAGCCACAGATTTCACTTTTTTGATATTCATCAATTTGTCAGGACAGTTATCTTGTATACACCAGCTTTCTTTTTGAGGTTATGGAATATTCTAGAATACCGTGTGAATGAAATAAAAAATAAGACAAAGAGTGAAAAGAAAAAAGGGTAGTGGAATTTTAGAACACAAATGATGCACATTTGCTCAAAAGTCATTTTCCTCATGATTTTCTTTCTACTTGACCTTCTGAGTGCTTCCTTTTGTTTCTACTCTACATTTTACTTCATAATAAATACTACTTACTCAAACGATTACTTGAGGTATCATTTTTGTGAATAAAATATACCTTTTCATGAAAAATACTCACCTTCATGACTATGACCACGATGAAGGTATTCATCAACCATGTGCATTACGTTTTCTTTAATAACGTTTGCCCTTTCCAATGCAGGTTGAACAAAGGGGTCCACTAAATTCCTAGCCTTCTCTACGGTTGGTTCCACGATGTTTTTGGCAGTTTGCAGGGCCGGTTCGGTGTAGGAGCGTGCCGAGTCTACCACAGGACTAACATAGTTCTTGGTTGTGCTGTAGATCTGTTGAAGAATCTGCTTGAGGCGTCGTTAGATTTATTGATGATAGATGGTACAAGAGATGCGGGGACAGACGATGATGAAAAAAAATGAGTTTCTTGTCAACAAATAATTTTGAAAAGGAACAGAAATCGAAAGATTATATTTCACATTGCGGAGAGAGTGGTGAATATTTTTATAATAAAATAAAGAATGGAAAAATAGGAACACATAGTAACAATAATGATCAATATATTTTGAATATCCATTTTTCTGTGTTCCTTCAAAAAATTGTTCAATTTTTTTTTTCAGTTGTACCTATTGTTTATATATTTTGTATCTTCAAATGTAACTTTCACTGTACAAAAAATCACGAGTGAAATACAGATACATCTAGGAAGTTATAGAATCAAAATATTATCAAGAAATGGTAAAATACTGAAGTAAAAATAATATATTGTGAATATAGAAATAAATACAAATCTAGAGGTGAAATCTAAAAGATACTTAGTAGAAAAAAAAAAAAAAGAAAAATGAAGTGATGTAGCCGGCATGACTCGTATTTGTTGCCTGTTGCTTTTATCCAAATTTTTTATTTCACATGGAGAACATCGCTCAGTGTTGTCAACAAGTGGTGTCGCTAGTGAGCCTTCTCATCACAATCCACATCTAGCAGGTACGTTATTTGTGAATATTTTCATTATTTGAAAGTCTTTGAAATATTGTTATTCTATTTGGCAGTGAACATGGTACGGATCAAAGGGCTGGTGATAGAGTTTTGAGCTGTCCCGCATTGTGAGACATTGAAATTGCGGAACAAAAATACCATCGTACAAAAGTAAATCTAACATCAAGTTGTTGATCTAGCTTGTCCCATTTGCTATTTCTTCCACCATCTTCTTCGTTATTGAGCATAGGCTGCTATAATGATGAAAGCAGAGCTAGCAGCAGCAGCAGCGTTTGGTTACATTTTTACTTCAAAACTAAGTTTGGTTTGAACTGGCAAGTGGTTTTGGTTTAGGCACACAACTCTGTTGAAAGCATGTATCCGGATACAAATTGTTGTTTCCAATAAATATGTTGGTAACATCCATCAACATGATGCCAACATTTTGTTGGCCGGTCTGTACTTATCTTGATACTGACTATTCCAGTTCCTGTGATGTTAGTTCGTCCCAGAATTCCAGCTGGAATATTCTAGTTTTGTTTAACATTTGGAAACCAAATTAACTCCAGTCATACTTAGTACTGCCAAGGCATCGGACTGATAAAATTATTTAGGTACCAGTCTGCACCTGATTATTATTAACAATAATTGAAATTGAAAACAATGAAAACTGTTAGCCTGAATTATTCACGTTATATTTATTTCTTTTTAGTTTTTCAAATCGATTCATTTTTTTGTACCAACCCAAAACAAATATTTCGGCCTTATGTTACTTTTACATATTTTTGGAATATATGATACCTACTATTGAAAAAAATATTTGTTCCATCACAATAACAATTAATGAATTTCTGATGATTTGAAAAAAAATACTCTTGCTACTTCAGAAAATATGGAGCAGAATAAATTATGTTTTATTATTAATAAAACAGAAAAAAAAAACTTGAAAATTTCAATAATCAAAACTCAATTTGAAATGTTTCCATGTTATCATTACTGTATAATTGTTTTTTTTTTATTTATTTCTCAACGTTACATTTATTTTGGAGTTTTTTAAAATATTTGTGGTATTCTTAATTTAATCATTCAAATATTCTCCAAGCAGGTTGTCAATAATCTTTCATTTTGATGTGACTCTTTCATTTTTGAAGTTTCTATAATATTTCAACAAATAGTTGTCCAAACTCCTACCATTCAAATAGGTACTTCCGAAAAATAAATTCTCACAATCGTCCTGTTAATTTACTCGAAATGATTCATTTAAATATGATGAAGCTAGGGGTGCAGAAACATTGATGAACTAAATTGATACTGACCTCTGAAGCAGGCAATTTCATAGCAGGAACCTTGCTTTCAACGTAGTCCAACCCTGTGCACAGGACATCATCTACCTTTTTAATGGGTCCTTCTAAGTTTTTGATCACGGGCGTGGCGATTGGTTTTCCTGCTTCCACCGCCATACACACTGTATTTTCTGCCGTGGAAAGAGTCCAGTTGGTAAGACTGTTGAAATCCTGCAAAAGCCAAGGTATTGACCTCAAATAACCTGACTTCAAACAACCGAATCAATATAAAATCAGGGAAGATTCAAAACATGTGTATGTGTACCTACTGTTCAAAAAATAAGGTGAATGTTCAAATTTCACGAACATTCAGGAAATCATAATTGAAGAGGTACCTCAGGTATATACGAATTGTAGAGGTTTAGGTAATTTGATGGAGATAGTCCCAATTGAAGTTACCTGTGGTATATAAATATTAACATAAGAAGCAACTGTATTATTCAAATCCCTGTTGAAGAAGTTACTGTGTTAGCGAAACATGTCGTGATATACTTTTTAAATAAACTTTGTGGAAATCGAGGTACCACGTATCACGTATCAATATTGGGGTTGCCAGTCATTGAGGGGGCTAATTAAAGTTTACAAATATAAATATACAATTCGGGAAGGCCTGTATATATGAAAATACCAGTGAATGAAGTTTCAAGTTGGTTTATGTTACTGGAGAAGGTCTAAAAAATGTTTTTCCCAATAATACTTTTTCAGCGAAATACTTTTTCACCGAAATACTTTTTTAAAATATTTCCATTACTCACTTTTACTTTCCCATAAATGTTCGTTGCGGTTTGGATTGTGGACTCAACAACTGGCAACTTGGCTATTCTGTTGACAGATTCCATACAAGTGGGGTGAGAAATTGCGAGGGGTCCTTGAGCTTGATCTGCTGCCATTTCTGAATTCTGAAATCAACATGAATTGTGAGAATACTGAGAATTGAAAGAATATTTTGATATTTGTTACAAATTAATAAAATCCTTCGTCGTTCTGAAATCGAAGAAGTATTTTATACATTATTCCCTAACAATGATCAATGTTGATTTTAATGGTACTGAAGCTAACAAAAATAACCCTTTCAAATTAAACAAGATTCCTTTTGGCTGGGATTTAATCAAATAGGTGAATGAATGTCATTACGATGTCATCGATAACATAAGTAGATCAAACTTATTACGTGACATACGAAATAGTAATTAAGGAATCTAAGTACACAGTAACTTCTTTTAAAATTGATTACTTCCTTCCTTTCTTTGGAAGATTCCCATATTTTTCTATATCAAGATAGAGAAGTAGAAAGCCAAAAACTAACAAATATAGTTTAATAATAATGCTTTATTGGTTACATTTGATTTGCTACAAAAATGTTATGAAATCGTGTCTGTCTTCATTCCCTATTTGTTTTAAGAAATATATAATATACTTTGTATTCAATTCCTTATAGAGATATTGCACATTTTTTATATGCTTGATTTTCATGAATTTAACTGAAACTAAAGAGATGTTCCAATAGTAACCACATTCTAAACGCTAGTAAGGATTTCCTGAAAAATAATACTATCATAGGTAACTTTTACCACCGTTTGCAACTTGTTAAGTGGAAAGATCAGCGTCGACTAGTTTTTTTGGAAAAAAGCTTTTGGCTTTCATTTCTCCAAAGCCAGAAAATATACCTTTTCAATTTGACATCTAGTAGGTATGTTGATACTGCAAACTTCAATCTCACTAAAGGCGGATTTCCACGGGCTCGCTTGTGACTAGTTTCGTTTTCAAAAACAGTAACAAAAAACTTGTTTCAGTTTCGAAAAAAAATTGTTTGTTTCGAAAACAAACCCGAATTCCACCAGACAAAACTAGTGCGAGTCGCGTGTTTTGCTGTGAAATACTTTTTCAATAAACGAATTATTCTTATCATGCCTTCTCTAGACGATGTTTTTATAATGGCAGCGATTTTTTCATGATCGAATCATTTTAGCGAAAGGAGCGATGACAAAAAAAAAACAAGATATTGGATGGGACCAATGTTAAGAAGTTAAGAAGACGAATACATTATGGCACGGATAAAATTCTGTCAGTTTTGATAAATGATGAATGAAACTGAGATCATGTTTCGGAATTTTTTAAGAATGCCCAAACACAAATAAAAATAAATTTAAAAAAAAACAATTTCAGAACATACTGTACCTATTCAAAAAAACACGTAAGGCTTACAAAATGATGACTGTAAATAAAAAAACTAAAACATCATTTTTTTTATAATATAAACCTTCATATCAGAAAAAAAAATTATGGATGATAAGAAACTCACCTCGATATCAACAGGACAATAACCACAATTTCGAAAATAAGTGTGTCTAATCTATCTCACAGTTGAGGAGCAAGTGATATATTCCAATCGAAGGCTATACTAAATGAGTTTATAAAAACCTCTGATAAGAACAACCAATTTTTTCCTGTAGCATTGGAATGGCATTGACACTGAACATGTCTACAAATATTTGCTAGGCCGATAAAACAGATGGAGTTTTGTCAGAACTGAATATATGGTTGAATTTATTAGTGCTATTATTTTTGCAGAGAAAAACGTATATAAACTAGGATGTGATCATTAAAATATTTTTCTCTCTATTGAAAAGTTTCATTTCAACCATGAACAATGAAAAGACATTTCAAAGTCGTTTATTTAAAAACAATATAAAAACCTTCGTATGAAGGCGGGCTCAGCAGTCGATAGGGTCACTATTCACACATTATTTTCAAAATGGTACCATTTTCGTTTATAAAGTAGGTGTCATCTTGGTTATAGAAACCTCAGTACGTTATTGCATTTTTAGTTCGTGGATCCTGCATCCAAGTATTCAGTTTTCAAAATGACGATGATTTGAAATATTGCCGTTGAATTGCCAAACATAGGTTAAGTTAGGTTAGGTCCAAAGTGAGTGGGTCTATTCGACCCTCTACCGCAACCCGCAAGGGTTCATTGTGGCTCACACCTATTCACACTCGACCAAATAAACCCAGCTTCTTAACGAAGCCGATTAGTTTGTACGGTGAGTGGTCTTTCAGGTCAGATGGTAAGAGTACGGCTCTGCCAAACTCTAAAAACCTGATTCGCTCCCCAGCGGCGCAGGCACACAGTATGTTCTCTGCTGTTTCATTTTCCAAACAGAGGCTACACATACTGTCTTCCGACAGTCCCGAGTCTCTGCATATGATGATTTAAATGACAATGACCTGTAAGAAGGCTTGTTAGACATCGTAGTTCATCCCTACGATAGTACAACAACTGTTTGGTATCAAGTTTTGAAGGCTGAATAAACGCTTTGGAATGAGTCAATCCTCCCATAAGTCCATAAATCTTCTTGCCATCTAGGTGTTCTATCTGTTGAGTCTTCCTAACGAGGATAGTCCTTTCTGGCAATTTGCTACCAATTTAGACGTTGCTTGGTAGGAGCCAAGAGCTTCTAACGCCGCTTGACTGTCCGAGAATATTTTTATTGACTTGTGAATGAGGTTTGATTCTTCCAATCTCTCCGCACACAATTCAATAGCGTAAATTTCCACTTGAAATATAGTCGCATAGGTTCCTAGGCAGGTTGATATCTCTGTCCTGGATCTATGACTGAAAACACCTGAATCGGAAGGTGTTTTTTATCCATCTGTGAACCAACAACTATCTGCTTTCAATATTTCCTTCTCCCGGAGGATCCAGTCCTCTCTACTCGGGAACAGTACTTTATAAGGCAGTTCGTAGTTGACAGTCGGAGGCATAATGTCAGAGGTCAGTCCCAGAATGCTGTGACTTCCAGTGTCAACCAACACACTTGTGCATACAAGTCTATATGCAGTCCATCTTACCTCTCTCTCCCGAAAAATGTGGAGAGGAGGTAGCTCTAGAAGGATCTCCATGTCCGCTGACGGTGTGGTACTAATGGCACCACTGATAGCCAGGCAAGCCTGTCTCTGTAAGCCAGAGAGCTTCGCCTGGGCCGTTTTCTGTAAAGCATTCGGCCACCAGGCAATTGCACCAATTGCCAAACATACTCGTGAGTTTTAACGAGTATACTAAAACCACCTAAACGAGAAAATAATCAAAACGTAATGTACCTATCAAAAGTGATTCCAGACACTGAGAAGCATCCAGGAACTCAAAGACATACACAGGTTTCAGTATAATTTTAAATAATGTTCCTTTCAGTTATGTGCCCTAAGTTCCAAGAATAAGAAGCATTTCTGGAAAAGAAGGTTTTTGGCTTTCTACTACTCCATCTCGATACAAAAAAAGATGAGGGCATCTTCCAAAGAAAGGAAGGAAGTAATCAATTTGAAAATAAGTAACTCTATACATGGATGTGTAGATCATGCAAAGAAGTAACTTTCAGACACAAACTGAAAGAAAGTCCTCCTGAAACAGCTTTTTCCATATGAACATTGAATTACACGAAAGAAAAAAAATCTTTCGAAACAAATACTTCTATATGAACACTGAACTATACAGAAGATACTTTTCTTTAATCAGTTTGTATTTCAAACATTCGTTGTGGAATAAAATCAGATATCATTCACATGAGTTCTACTTTAAATGAATGGTAACAAATTGCACTTATATGGAACACTGTCATCCTCACTGGTATACATCGATGTTTCGCCGTAAGATACTTGCCCTAAGGCTCTTCAGTACCAAATTGGATAACATTATAGAAAATACACACAATTCATTCTTGAATTAAGATTTTTAATGTCACGGAATAAGCTTGATCTGCTTATGTCATCGATGACAGTGTTCCATGTGAGTACAATTTGTTACCATTCATTTAAAGTAGAACTCATGTGAATGATATCTGATTTTATTCCACAACGAAAGTTTGAAATACAAACTGAATAGAGAAAAGTATCTTCTGTATAATTCAGTGTTCATATAGAAGTATTTGTTTCGAAAGAATTTTATTCTTTCGTGTAATTCAATGTTTACATGAAAGTAGCTGTTTCAGGAGGACTTTCTTCCAGTTTGTACCTGAAAGTTACTTCTTTGCATGATCTACACATCCATGTATAGAGTTACTTATTTTCAAATTGATTACTTCCTTCCTTTCTTTGATAGACTCCCTCATATTTTTTTGTATCGAGATGGCGTAGTAGAAAGCCAAAAACTTTCTTTCCCAAAAATTAATCACTCCTAAAAATATAACCCCTTCAATTCAAAGAAGCATTTCATTTTTGAAATCAGCCGAATGAATTTCTTCCTCTTTTTGGAATTCACAATGAAAAAAATCATCATAAATAATTCAATGTTGTTCTAACTTTAACAGTGTTCAAAGTATCTATTTTTAAAGAAGTTACGTTTCAAAAATAAAAAAATGGTCGAGTATCTATGTTTTCAATTATGTAGTGAGGATACCCGCTAGGAACATGTTATTTAAACATGAAACTCCAATATATTTCATTTTAATTTCTTTGTAAAACTATCAGCTTTTATATAATTAACTCATTTTCATCATTTGTTATGACATAACTTATAATGACATTTATTTTTAACGGGTCAATAGTTCAGACCACTTCACGATAAGGCGACAATAAATGTAATTTCAAACTATCAAGACTACAAAACTACGATTTCGTTTCGAGTAATTTATTTGAGGTCGTTCAATGTGACTGATAATCGATAAAGTATTGACAAACACAATAACAAAAATACGAATGTTATCACACATTTAACCAAGAAGTAATTGAGGTAATTAATGAAATATGATAATTTCATTTTTATGCTTACTCATTTGAATTTTAATGAACCGAAACCATAACAATTGTAACTCAAATATTTCAAATATAGTTGCCATAAAGTATCAAAAACTTCCACAACCATTATTTGTTTGTCAGTAATCAGAATTCCAAAAATTTCCGGCAA